ATCTATCAAAGCGTTATTCCCGCTCTAAACAGTTTATTGGTGAGTATATCGGCATCGTGGTGATTGCTACCAAGTTTTAAAACAATATTTTATTTGATGAAAAGCTTATAAAATTATTTTCCTTTTTTTCATTGCATTATTAATAGTTATCCTAATTATAATTGTTTTTTCGTAGTGTGGTTCGTTAAAAGTGTTTTGTATGTTGTTCTAGTATCAAATAATTTGACTCAAATTTATAACGGTTAGATCATGGTATCATGGGTTAGATCATAGAGCCAAAGAATCTTTCTAAGATAAGAGGGCGCTGGTATTCTGTTTATTCTGAAACAATTGTTTAATTTGTTCCGAAACGCTAGCATCGACAATCAGCGCCGCTGGTGGTGAAAAAAAACTTAATTTGTACAATTTAGAGGGCAGGTTTTATCAATTTCCCCTATTAAGTTCGGGCTCCTTGTGTAGGCTCCATGGATTATATACTGGTTTGTGAATAAAAATCGTTCGTTTTTTTCAAAGAAAGCTAATGTAGAATTTCATTTTGAAAAATGGTTTGGCAAAATATCGTTGGTGATATTTTATAAATTATTTTTTTATAAATTATTTTTTTTTTATTTAATAATAAAAGTAAAAAAATAAATATCGCTAACGATGTTTTGACAAAAGCATTCATCAAATCTATATCCCACAAAGTAACGTAAATGTAACTTAAGCGACAAGACTAATTTTACATTTTCCCAAAGTTGTTCTTATAAAATTTAATGAAAATTTTAGATTGGATTCGATCTTACTTAAATGTTTGAATTCTACATTAATAAAATAATGCCTTGCCAGTTTTCAGATAAATAACTTTAAAAATAAAGCTCCCACACAAAAAATATTTTTCCTGTAAAATTTAGGTTTTGTCGCTTACGATGTTTTGTCAAATAACCATCGATATAGTAGATATATTTAAAAATTAATTAGTAAAATGGATGCTACAACTTTGAACACAATGCCAATCATAAAACAAATAACCTTAAACTGTTTAAGTAGGTATCTAGGGAATTTGTAGTAGGGTTGGTAACATAAAAGTTACCAAATTTCATCCCAGAATTGCCGTTAAACGGCAATAAAGATCCATCCGGACCGATGTTCGGCAATTGCAAGAGATTCATCGAAATGTCTCGAATTGCCAACTGTAAAACGGCCTTAACCGTTCGGACATCCGCCATTTTTAAACGGTATTAATACAAGACTTTACATTAAATTATATATAGGTATACTATAAATATAAATACGAAGTCGTCTATAATTATCTAGTAAAAATATGCCGTATAACCAGTTGTATAGATTACACGCATAAGTACATATGAATATATACGAGCAAACCTCAATATATTCACAAATAAATTTTATAATTTATTATTATTACTTTTATTATTATTATTAATTAATGCATTATGTCGTAAAATTATTTCATACTTACGCTAGGCTATACATTATTGTTAAACATCTGCGGATATTTAACTTTTTTATTTATTATATTTTTTTTTCTAAATTGGAAGAAGTAAGGTTAACAGATTTTAGATTTTTTATATAATATATATGTATATTAGGGTGCTTCAAAAAATAAAATTTAATTTTTTTTTCGCTCTTACCCTCTCAAATGTTTCTATTTAATATAAAAAAAATCCTCACCAAATATGAGCGTTCCAGCTGAACTCTAAGAGGTCGCTGTTTTTATTTTAGTTTCCCATTTAATTAACATGGGAAAAAACAATTTTATGTTTGGAATTTTATACCTCTGTATCAAAGTAACTTATGACAATGATCATGCAGTTTCTTATATAAAATGTAACGCTCTACAAAAAAGATCTCCTATTATTTTTCGATAAATTGATTTCTTCTAGAGTTATTCGAGGTCAAAGTTTGATTAACATCGAATTTTCTGTTTTTTTAATTTTATGGTACAATTGTCTGCTAATTACCTAATTAGCAGACGGGAGGTAAAAGGGGGCGAAACAAGGCAGCGGTGGGGGGGGGTCAAAATGGGGTACCCAAAAAATGAGCATATGAAAAGTTTTCCAAAATTGTACCATCCTTTTTCTCGCTCCACAGGCTCAGAATAATTATTTTCGATTAAAAGCGTGAACTTGTGTGAAAAAATTCTTGTAAATAATTTAGAAACCGAAAAAAACAAATTTTTTGGGCACCCCATTTTGCCCCTCCGCTGCAGCGCGCTGCCTTGTTTTGCCCTCTTCCCGTCTGCTAATTGTACCATAAAATTAAAAAAAACAGAAAATTTGATGTTAATCAAACTTTGACCTCGAATAACTCAAGAAGAAATTAATTTATCGAAAAATAATAAGAGACATTTTTTGTAGAGCGTTACATTTTATATAAGTTGCCATAAGTTACTTTGATACAGAGGTATAAAATTCCAAACATAAAATTATTATATAATAATATCATTGAGTAAAGAACCAACCCAACTTCCTTACTCAATGATAATATTATATATAAAAAATCTAAAATATAAAACCCGATTGGTTTAAATAACAGTGAATATTGAAATCAGTCAATCACTGATGCCTAACAACGTAAATATTGAGTTCATTATTCACGTTGTTAGGCAGGGCAGTTAAAAAAACCCAAATAATGTTAATAACATGGAATAGGAGTAAAAAAAAATTATAATAAATATAAAAATTCAAAATATATTATATAAGGGCAACTATAATGATCTTTAAAATCAGGAGAAAGTGAAGTTATAATAAATTTTGTTATTAAAGAAAATAACTTAATTGGAGTTGAAAAAGCATAGTATTAAACTCGAAATAATGAGCATTATTTACTCGGATAATTTAAGTCTCTAGCCTGACCGCTTGAGACGCAAACCTCATCCTTGTGAATAATACCCTGCATTATCTCTCGTATAATAATATACTATTAACACTTTGCATTCTTGCATGCTTGCATTTTAACATTAACAGTTAATATGTACAATGTACCTGGTACATGTATAGTATACATTGTATACCATATTTTCACAGTGCCGAGGTCATCCGAACGCCAAAGGAGAGAGTGGGGATGCACCTTTGGAGTCAAATTGAGTCAAATTGCCAATTTCGGTGTAATTTACTGCGGTGTAATTTTGGTGTAATTTTATACAATCCACACAACAAGGTCTGTTCTATCTCGATTCGCGCATATTAAAAATCACGAAGTTAGGCAACCAACTGCACAGACTCTAACGGCGGCCATTTTTATGTTGTTTATAATTCTTGTGCTTCGGTTTGTGCTGTTTATACAAATTAATAATCGTTTTAAACGTTGTGTTTCTTACAGAGGCACTTCTAAGCCTTAAAAGAAGCCTTAAAGTGCTAAGGGCAACCGTTTTACTCCTGTTTTGTAAAAAAAACCTTTTTCTATCAGGGCTGTCATTAAACTGTCAAATGTCAATTTTAAGGTGAATTTGTGGGTATGGTAAATTTGTGGGTTATGGTAAATTATTCTTAAAATTGACATTTGACAGTTTGAGCAAGCATTAAGGTAGTATCTTCATTTGAAAAGTTTCCATTGAATGTCGTCAAAATTTAATATATAATTTTATGAGACATCACATTCCAAGAAAATAATTTTTAAGTAACATTTGTTTTTATGCGCATTTTTTATTTTGTATTTCACGAGCTCGCTCATGAGATTACAATAGGTGTTTTCGCGGTCCTAATCCCGAACTAGTTTGGACATCCTAGGCATGCGAATTTTTTTTATTCACAAGGATGAGGTTTGCTTCTCAAGCCTTTAGGCGAGATACGTAATTCATCCGAGTAAATAATGCGCATTATTTCGAGTGTAATATTATTCTTTTTCTTCTTCAATTAAGTAATTTTCATTGATAACAAAATTTATTATAACCTCACTTTTCCACGATTTTAAAGATCATTATAGTCGCCCCTCGTATATATAAACAAATCTGACATCTGTTAACCTTACTTTTTCCCAATTTAAAACCCGATTGGTTCAAATAACAGTGAATATTGAAATCAGTCAATCACTGATGCCTAACAACGTGAATAATGAGTTCATTATTTACGTTGTTAGGCCGGGCGGTTATATTTGTTACCGTTATTTACGAAAAAAAAAACCCAAATAATGTCAATAATATGAAATAGGAGTAGAAAAAAGTAACTATATACCATAGCACACATAAGAACTTTTCAAAATTTTATTGAACCGGCTTTATAAAATTTAATTTATGCGTAAAAATTGTAAAGATTCATCATTTATAAGCTTCATTAACCGGTCAGCTACGAAGGTACAGAATTAAATTATCGATAACAAGTTTGAATTTCTTTTTGTAAAAATATTTTCATATGCCATAAATTGCGAATAATAATGATGGGGAACATAACTATTAACAAAGAATCCTGATATTCGTTTCAGTTCAATAATTGGTATTAAGAGTGGGAAATTATTTTTTGTATGGTTTTTAATGTTAGTATGATTTTAATATGTGTACTTGTAAACAATAGACTACCTTTTTATTTTTATACTTAAAGAAATGTGGATTTGTTTTGAAAAAACTTAATTTTTTATCAAGTGATCAAATGCAAATAAAAAAGAGTGTTAAGTGACAAATGGAACACATGTTTTGGATGTATATGAGTTTTAATTAAAGTGCAGACTCTAAAATTAGCTTTATGAGAACCGAAACATGTTTACTGGAAAATATTTAAAGACTAAGATGTTTTTATAATAGTACAAATACAAGTTGAGTAAACATTACTGCATAATTGGAAATGTTTTTGGGTTGTTAAGTATATATAAATAAAGTACTTAAGTAATTTGAATTCCAGAGTAAATATTTTTAAGTTAGGTAAGTTAATGATACTAATTAGGGATATTTGTATATAAAATCAAAACAAGTATTTATTATTGGATTACAAAATTATAATGGAGTGTATTTTTAGTGCAGGTAAACCAATTAGGGTTGATTCAATGGGTATGGACGTTTCGCTTACCAAAAGTTAAAATGAAGGAAAATGAGAGAATTAACTTGCATCCCTGTAAGGGTGTTCCACGATTCATTATCCTGTCGAATGTTATAAAAGGAAAGAGTGGGAACACCCTTTACTTTTAAAATCTTCTTTTATAAGAGTGCATAGCTCTGAGCTGTCGAGTTTTGTTGGGGTGGGTCTTCACTTCTTAGAGTCAAATGCCCGCACAACTGTTTGTTTAAATAATCACTGGATTCTTATATTCGAAGCACTGTCTGAGTATTGAGGCGTTGTGTTTTAGCAGACACCGTCTTGTGAAATATGTCCGGGTTTTTGTTTAATTGTTGGTGAAAATCGATATTTTCACATTGATGGAGTGAGATCGGATGCGCTCTCGCGGATTCTGGATACTGACAGAGATATGGAGCACAGTGTGTAGGTCGAGCAACGCCGCTATGAGGCGCCGGCGCTTGTCTCTGTACCCACGCTCTCCTTTGCGGCCCAAAAGCGACCGTCGACGCCGCGGCTCGCCGTGCCTTGCTTTGTCCTACCTTGACGTTTTCATGAAGGATTCTTCTTTCCATCACCTACGATGTTTTTTATTACCCCTCTAGCACACTTCTGTTTACACCTCAACAGGAAGCGTCAGTAGTTTTTAATTTCAATTAAATATATTTTATGTACATTGTTTATTTGACTTGAGTAGACTCAAAAGCGGACATGTTTCACATTAGTAGTTTCAAAAAAACAAAATACTGCACAAACTTTTCAGGTGGAAAATTTGTAAATTTTTAAATCAACCATTTTTGTAAGACAATATTCCTTATTTTGTCCCGATAAAAAATGATTGGATATAATTGTATACAATCATATACAATTCTATTTAATTAGTCTGTATCCAATTGGATACAAAAATTAAGACGATATATGTATATCATTGTATGGAATCAAATAAAATTATATATACGATTGGTTACGATTATGCTTCATTATTACGTTTATATTAAAGTGACCAGATCCTAAAAGTCCAAAAGCGGGACAAAGTTACAAAATGGTCAAAAATCTTGTTTTCATTTTCAATTTAGAATTAGGGTAGTGATAAATAAAAAAATACTAAGTAGTTATACAAAATATGTAATGAAATACAAAAAAAAACAAAGTTTAAACTACAAGTAAAAACGACAATCAGTATTCTGATTTTAAATTTTTAATACCTATAACATTTTTATTTATATTTTTCATTTTGATGAATTTTTTTAATAGGGGCTTATTTTTTAACTCATACAGTCTCCTTTAAAATTATATTTAATAGTCACTAAAGCTTTTGGGCCATTCCACGCTTAACGGATAGGACAGTTGCCGTGTTTTTATTTACAAAATAATATTGTTCTATTACCAATGTCAAATTTTTATAAATAGTTCTAATCAAAAGCTGTTTAACAAGGTTTTTATTTGGCAAAATTAGGTATCGTGATTGATTTAATAGTCACTAAAGCTTTTGGGCCATTCCATGCTTAACGGATAGGACAGTTGCCGGGTTTTTATTTACAAAATAATATTGTTCTATTATATTACCAATGTCAAATTTTTATAAATAGTTCTAAACTAAAGCTGTCCTATCCGTTACGCGTGGAATGGCCCTTTTAAAGTTTCTACAGACAAATTAGTTTTTTCGGTGGTCCAAATTTTATTAATCATAGAAAAAACCCGTGCGGTAGAAGCGTTTGTACCGGGGTAAGCATATAATATATATTTATATATATATTAGGGTGGTCCTAATTTAGGGTGTGTTCGAATTTTTCTTCACGATAGTCCTAAATAGGTTCCAAATATATTAAAAAAATAATGTGCCAAATTGCAGCTCTTAATTTTAAAATTAAGCCGGCCCCCCCGACATCCAAAGTTTTAAATGGAAATAACATGGGAAAAGTTCTGTTATTACTTTGGATTTTTTTAAGTCATGAACTAATAACCGGATTATATAGAATGATAAATATTCTTGTAACAAATTTAACGCTCTACAAAAAAGGTTTCTTGTGATTTTTTGCTAACTTAACTGGTTCAAAAGTTATTCGAGGTCAAGATGGAAGTTATAATCAATTCTATGTTTTTTTCCATTTTCAACATGGTTTAATGATTCAAAAATGTAAAAAGGGTTATAATTTATATTTTAAAAAGTTAGTTACACCAATTGTTTTTATATTTTTGCACTGTCGTAACTTTTAAGGATTTTTTAAATTTTGGGATACCAATTGTTTTTTTATTTTTGCACTGTCGTAACTTTTAAGGATTTTTTAAATTTTGGGATAGGTACGCAAGATATTTTGGACATAGGTATTGTTAAAAATTTTGATTTTAATTGGTAAAAATTTTGATAAACTGTAGTTTTAAATTCAAACTTCTTAATAAAAACATTGCTGTGGCTCCCGTCCCGAGGCGGGACTTAAGTTTAGTCCCGAGTGACGTCATAATTTTAAGATTTGTTATGTTACGATAAAACTAAAACAAACCAACGAACCCAACCCAACACTTTTTAACAAAGGAACAACAAATTTATAAAATAAAAAAACTTCGACAACTTCTAGTAGTATCGAACCCGGTACCTCTAGCATGCCAAGCGACCGCCTTACCATCTGGTATTTTTTTTTAATACATTGAAATTTTAATAATATTTAATCAATAAATATTTTTCTTTTTAGAGCAAACGTCAAGATAAGAAAAGTCATCTAGAATATAAATTATAACCCTTTTTACATTTTTGAATCATCAAACCACAATAAAAATGGAAAAATCATGGAATTGACTAGAACTTTGATTTTGACCTCAAATAACTTTTGAACCAGTCAAGTTAGCAAAAAATCACAAGAAACCTTTTTTGTAGAGCGTTAAATTTGTTACAAGAATATTTATAATCCGTTTATTAGTTCATGACTTAAAAAAATCCAAAGTAATAACAAAACTTTTCCCATGTTATTTCCATTTAAAACTTTAACTGTCGGGGGGCCGGCTTAATTTTAAAATTAAGAGCTGCAATTTGGCACATTATTTTTTTTTATATATTTGGAACCTATTTAGGACTATCGTGAAGAAAAATTCCAACACACCCTAAATAAGGACCACCCTAATATATATATATATATATATATATATATATATTCTACTATAGTATATTATAATATATATATATATATATATTGTACTAATTTTAAAATATTATTGAAAGGAATGTTATTTTCATCGAAATGACTAAACATTTTTGATCTGTGGGAGTTTTTTGCTCAGTCCAAAAAATAAGTTTACTCTCAGAAACATAATTATGAACATATTGAGTCTAATCAAATAAATCATTTTAAACTGGTGCATTTGGGGAATTTTTTTAAAAGAAACTCAAAACTTTTTTGTACTTGTTCCCATGTCGGAGCTTTTTTACTACTGTACTGGCTTAAATATTCAAAACAATTAGAGTAAAAGTTAATAGTCTGAATTTATTGAAAGCGGGACAAAAGCGGGACGCTTATTAAATCAGGACCCTTAGCTCAGAATCGGGACTGTTCCGCCTAAATCGGGACGGATGGTCACTTTAGTTTATATACGAGTCTATAGACAGGCATGTGCCTAAAAAATTTAGGGGCCCTGGAAGTTCTTTATTAATACTAACTTTAATTTTTGATATTAATATAAGTAACAATATTAATAGATCTTTTTTTTAAATATAGTAAAAATTTAACAAAAAATTAAGGTCAGTGTTTAGTGAGTTCACACGCTCATGTTTATAAAAATTGAACTAAAAAGAACATAAATATAACTCTATTCTTCATTTATTTTATCGAAAAAAATGACTCCCCCTTATATAATTCAGATCGATAAAAAATTAACAAAAAAATTAACAAACATGCTAAATTTAATTTACACAAATTTTGAAAAATCTATAGGTAGGTAAATGAAAAACGTTGGTGGTAACAAGTTATCGAAAACAATAAGTTATATTTAATTATATTAAATTGTAATTTTATTTTATTTATTCTTCGTTTTTTACCTATAGGTATGTATACATAAATAAGTATTTTTTATAAAAGTTAAAATAAATATTAAAATCTTTTTTAGAAACTGATAATATTTAATTCATGCATTTTCATAGCTTAACTTATTACAACCTTCTTAGAGGAAACATTTCTTATTAATATTCTTTTTAAAATTTAAAAATAGAAGTAGTTTGCATTTTTTATGTTTTGTTGGTTTTGAATGTATAATATATGTTTGCTCAAAAAATAACAATAACAAATATAACTATAGGTAGACCTAGACCTGTATAGATATTACCTATTGGAAGTAAAGTTAAAACTAGAAATATACCCACCACTTATGTTATAAAATTACTTTTATTGCAATTAGGATATCGTTTTCTATGTTTTGTCACTACTTGCAACCAAAATTGAAGCTGTGCTTCATCTTTTGTTAAGCATCGATTATACTGCTCTATCAATGCCACGCCGCGTTCTGAGGGAGGTCTCTTGGCATGCGAGAGGTACCGGGTTCGATACTACTAGAAGTTATCGAACTTTTTTTATTTTTTATTTTATAAATTTGTTGTCGATAAAATCAACAAAACAAACAATCTGCTAAATAAAGCTCTGTCAATATTTTTCAAATAAAAAAAAATTGATTAAATTATAACATAATAATAATAATTATTACACTAACTAGCCAAACACTCATCAATATATTATATTTCCTTAAGGAACTTTACATTTTCTTTAAACAAAAATTCATAAATTTTATAAAATATAAAATAAATTTGTTATAAAAGAGACCCAAAAATCATTTATACGAGTATTATAATTTTAATCTTTATATTTATGTATTTGTGCTTTTTGTGAGACGTACGTAATTTAAAACGTATTAAATTAATTAGCAAAAAAATAAGTTTACAGTCTCAGGTTAACAGAATTAAAGTGACTTTACATAAAAAATAATATAAATATGGCATATGATATATTTTTGTAGTTTTATTGAAAAATATTTGATATTTTTTTATTAGTGTTATTTTTGATTGCTGATATATTTGAAACGGTTGATCTGAAGAACTTTGACCTTCAGATGTTTTTTTGTAGAGCGTGAAATTTCCTATAAATCCTCTCGCTTGGGTGTTGCGAAAACAAACCATTCCAAAGTTATAAGAATTCAAAACTAAAAAAAAATCCCGTGTTATCGAAATGGAAAAACTACAAATTGAGGGCTCAAATAGGTGCCAACATTTTTGTTGTTAAATGTAGGTACTATAGTATAGTATATATTAACTTTTCAACACCATTAGAACAAGAAAATAATTGTTTTTTTAAACTATTAATTTTTCAACACCAT